CGCCACCAGGGCGTGGTGTTCTGTAAACCTAAACCTTAAGCCCTCAGCCGAAACCGAGGTTTCGATTTATTCTTTGCAGCCGTCGTGATCACCAACGCCATCTTCATAGGCGTCGATGTCCAACGAACGACCGAGGTCGAAACCGGCGACAGGCCTTGTTGGGTGGGTGTGAGGTTGGGGCTTTAGGGCTCCTGAGGGCTGCATCATTCTGTAGTGGTTGCTGAGGCTGGTGTTCGGGAACCCGCTGGACACAAATGCAATTGGGGGCTACTGTAGTAACGCGTTACAAACCGGTCAGTCATGGCAGAAGTCTGGAGCTTTCAGAGCCCAACGTGCAGAGGCCAGCGGGCTACATGGTTGTCGGGTACATCTACACACTGCTTTACATAGCTGAGCTCGTGTTGCGGCTCTCTGCTCACGGCTTGCGACTCTTCTGCTCGGACGATTGGATGTGGGTGTGCTCTCGGCGAGATTATCCTCAGATGTCTGCCACCTTCTCTGTGCCTTAAACAAACCCTCAAGTCTCCAAGCCGTCCAAGCCCTTCCCCGGCCGCAGGCTTCGGGACTAGGGCCGCTTGCTTGTTGCGTGTCAGTCACCAGTGAGGTTGCTGGATTGCTTCATTGTCGCGACGTCGGTATGGGATGTCTTTGTGGACATTCTCACTGCCATTCTGCCACCGGACGAGAACGGATTCGAGAGCGTCTCGGGGCTTTCTACCCTGAAAGCTTTCCGAGTTGTTCGTGTGACCAGGGTTTTGAAGATCGCTCAGCTCTTGCGGATCTTCCGCTTTGTCATGGCTCTGCGAACTCTGGTCCAGTCCATCTTTCACACGCTGAAAGCATTGGTGTGGGCCTTGCTGCTACTGCTTCTGATCGTGCTCCTTGGCCAGCATGTAAACTGCAAGACGCATTGCAATGGCTGCTTGTAGCCCTTGTAGCCACAGCCCCTGTAGCATACACCCGGACTCTTAAAGGAGCATTTGCAGACAGAGCTGCTGTCCTTGCGGAATTGTTTTCGGGTTTACTTGGGCGAGGTCATGATCTACGCTTCTCACTGAGGTATGTGTTCGCTGTCATCTTCACCCAGGCTATCAGCGACTTCAGGGTGGATCAGCGCGCAGCCGGCGAGGCCTGTGTTTGGTGGCCTCTGGGATTTTGTTTTCAGGGTCTGGGCTGCTTCCGTCAAAGGTCCTGCCCGACATCGTTGGCAACGACGGGATGCTTTACTTTGGAAGCCTTATCGACAGCATGCTCAGTCTTTTTATGAGCATCGCTGGAGGTATCTCAGCTGCCTTGCGGTGGTTCCTTCTCCGACGATAAATGTGCAGTATTGCGCAAGCAAAGAATCCAGATGTTGACATTCTTGGTCCTGAGAGCTGGATCTTTCTTTTGGCCCACTTCTCAATACCCTAAAGCCCTGTGCCCCTTTAATCCCCCAAATTTCCCCTTAAAAACGTAGAGCCCCCTGCCTTCGCCTGCACAGCCCTGAAGCAAATCCCAAAGCCGAGGCCCCTTTGTGGTTAAGTGCCCTAAACTGTCCGAAAGCCCTGGCATCGGCAAGCTTCCCAAAGGCATTGAAGGGAGAAGCCCTCAGCCCACGTCTTGAACTCAACGGAGAGCAAGACCAATAAGATTGACAGTCACGTAAATGTAGGGCTTATAGGGTTTATGGGAGTCCTCGTAGTACTCTGAACATGTCGATGTTTTACACAACGAACCTTAGATCCTGGTTCTGTAGCAAGCATCTTCTCGAAAGTGCGTTGCGTGCTGTTGGTTTCATATCTCTCTGTCTATCTATCTATCTATCTATCCATCTATCTACCTACCTACCTACCTACCTACCTACCTATCTATCTATCTATCTATCTATCTATCTAGCTATTTATCTATCTATCTATCTATCTATCTATCTATTATTTATCTATCTCTCTTTCTATGTATCTATATAT